TGCCCCCCCCCCCCCTCCCGTCTCACAGCTCTGGGTAATTATACAGGTTTCTTTAAAAGGATTCTTTATTTTACATGTAGTGCATTCAAGAAAACTTCCGCATATGAAATTTCCAAAGGAAAGGCCTGGCTAGTTAGGTCAGTTGGTTAGGACACAGTGTTATAACACTGAAGTCAAGGGTTCAGATCCCTGTAATGGCCAGCTGCCAAAAAAATTTTTTTTTAAAGTTTTCAAAGGAAATTCAGATCCTCAAACATTTTTTAAAAAGCCAAAAAAAAACCAAGGTTGTCAGGTACCTGACCTCTCAATTTTGATGAATGAAATACTTTTTATTCAAAAGTTGATAGTGCAATACTATATCCACAGTACTGCAAAACCTACATTTCAAAAGTAATCTTACCATTCCCATAATCAACCTTTTGGGTCCATTAAGGTCTTCTGCTCAGTGCAAATGTCAACTCATGTTAGACAATTCAACCTCCAAAGAGGAAAAAATAGAAATTTTAATTTCTTTGATGAAGAGGATCAATTATGTTAAAATATTCTGCCATATAAGTCCCTCACAAAGTATACATCAACAGTTATATTTTTAAATGTTAAGGTCCCTTAATTTGACATTACTTTTCTCTACCCATAGGTATATATACAGTCTATGCTTCCTATTCCTTATTTCAACATCAAATTTTTGGTGACATACTATTCCCCATTGACTTCAGGAAACTAGGCTTTATCATCACAAGGGAATTAAGTCAGAAATTTGGGAATTCATGGGAAAAAGTGATGATTTACATATTTATTACTATGAGCTAATGTGAATCAGCATAATTCTAAAAACATTCCATCTTTCTATATTTTCATTATCTAATTTCTGATATACAATCTAAAGAACCTAAAATTTATGACACTTTAGTATAGATTGACTCGTTTCAAGCAATATGTACATGCATGCATCTAAGTATGTATTAAAAAACACAAAAATGTACAAGACGTTATGACTTTATTCTTACAATTTTATTAATAATGCATAAACGGTTAATGGACAGGCATTACCAATATGACTGACCTATCTTAGCTACCATGTGGAAAAAGTATTTTCCATTTATCTAACTTACCCAATGCCTGCTCAAGAACTGGTTAAAAATGTCATCTTGGATCCCAAGTTTACACAATAAATAAATCTAATTCATATAATCAGCCATTATATCTTTAAAAAGTAAAATAAAACATCACTTTTCTTCAACTTTTAAAACACCTGCCCAAGTTGTTTGCTGGGATTAGAAGCAGAGGGCTGACAAAGAAACATGAGATAAAAATATCTGTGAGACTGTCTATCATCAATGCTTTATTGATGGGAAGGTCTCTCATACTGATGTATCAAAAAATACATTTTGAAGAGTAAAGGAAAAATACCCTTGTTCATTTCTAGATTTCTTGCCCCTTAAGTATTCACATTAATAAATCTTACATTCCATGTGAAACATCATGACAACATGTGAGTTATGCAATGTACACTATACTGAAGGGCAAATCAAAATAGTAAAGGACCTAACAAACCTGAGAAATGTTACTCAATTCTCTCTTTTTCTGCTTTATTGATCTGGACACAAATACTAAGCCTGAAAACAAAAGACAGAATCTTTGCAATGTACACTATACTGAAGGGCAAATCAAAATAGTAAAGGACCTAACAAACCTGAGAAATATTACTCAATTCTCTCTTTTTCTGCTTTATTGATCTGGACACAAATACTAAGCCTGAAAACAAAAGACAGAATCTTGCAGTATTTCCAGAATGATAATAATTAACTTTCCCACCGTGAATAAAAGTAGCCCATGCAGCCCAGGCCAATCACACAGAAATGGGCAGTTCCTATAAAAACAATAGCAGTCCTCTGGTCTGTCTCTCATCATCATCACAAGCAAAGGTGGTTATTTCCACTGCAGTGCTGGCCCAACCTCCTCCACAAGGAGTTGGGAGTAGACATTCTTGCAAAGAAGACAGTCAGGTCGCTTTCATTTCTGCAGCACGATTTTTCCAGTATTTACAATGGCATTTCAGTGAGTCACCTATTCCACTGCATATTCCGATCAAATGACATCCAAGAGCATCAGCAGATCACCACCCTGACTGAAAAAAGTTTAAGCACACATTTTTTCCCAAGAGGGAATGTCTTAAAAATGATCTAGGAAAAATATCTTAACATTAAAGCAATTTTTGGAAATCCTAAATAAAACCAGATTAAAGAGATCCCCAATTTTGCTTCAGAAAGTAGGTCACCTTATCTTTTCAAGACAAGGTTGTAGAAAATTAAAGAAAGGCTACCCCATTCTTGAGTATAAGACTTTTAGACTATTCCAATCCTACTACACTATTCCAATCTTACCAGGGGAAAACTGGAACAATGTATCTATAGTTATTTAGAAAAATTAAAAGAAGATAGGGAGAAACTCCATAAATGATGAAGTACACGCATAATTTAAGAATAAGAAACATAAGAGCTTCATTCATACTTCTTAGATTCCTATTTAACCCATAGTTCTGTGTGGAAGGCAATATGAATAGAATTTGGAGCATCAAAAGTCATTTAGTTATCTTTAATGTTCCTATCAAACATAAATAAACTTAAAAAGGGATAGTTAAATTAGACCAAGAAACCCACTATTATGCTATTTGCTCTAGAAGAAAAGCTGTTACCTGTATGTGAGCAAAAGGCTTGGCCTGGTACGAACTCTGGACAATCAATCAGTTGAGAGAAGTCTGTCTGAGGCACATTACGTGGAGGAGGGCCTGGAATTGGCCATTTTTCTGGTTCTATCTTTTTTCTCATTTTCTCATCCACAATTTCTACTTCTGTGCTATCCTTCAGTGCCTAACAAAAGAAATTTTAAGTTATCAAACAACTTGTCATTCAAAAAATTTTCATTATATGTCCTATACTTCTAATAACCTGAAAATTGGAAAATCTGAAATTAGATTATTGCAGTTGATGGTTCTAAAAATATCCATGAATTAACTATTTAGAATAAAACAAATTTTAAAATCATTTACCTCAGTAAAATAATAAATATCCTCATTTACTACTAATTTAACTCACTGTAGATGATATATTTTCAAAAGTAGAACAGTCATTTAAGGATTACTGCATCAACCAGAAGAAAATGACTTTTACTGTCCATAAAGCTTTATTGTCATTTTTTTCTTTCTCTTATTTCCTTTTGCCTTCCCTTAAAATAGTATCACCAAATAAAATTCAGGCTTTTATTTTATTATTGTAATAACGATCACCATTTATTAATTAAGTACTACATGCATACACAATTATTTCCAATACCCCACAAGGCAGGTATTAGTCCTATTTTATAGATGGGAAAACTGAGGCACAGAGAAATAAACTTATAAAAGATCATGGACCTGGTATGAAATAACACCAGGACTCAAATCACTCATTATCTTTCCAAAACTGAAAGTCTTTGCCAGTACACTATGGTGCCTTCCAAAAAAATGTGCTGTAATTTAATGATGAAATAAAACTAAATCAAAATTTCTTCAAAGTAAAAATTAAAGCCTTATTGATTTAACTTCTGAAATTCAGGGGTGCTCAACTTTTAGAAATTAGAATAAATCCAAAATGTATGTTAACTTATAAAAATTAAAACCCACTATATTTTAGTTGGAGAAAATGCTATACAACATGTATTACTTCAAGAACCTTACACTTACATGCTCTTAATATTAGTATAGCACTTAAATCTCAAGGTGTATTTTCCATAACTGGGCATTACTTTAAAATTAGGATTGAAACTTATTTTAAAACAAACTCCTTTGAGAAGGGAGTCTGGAACATGGAATGGAGGAAGACGGGGAAGAATCCTAGGGTATGAATTAGTGATATCCATACATTTTTCCTGACATTTTTTCCTCATTTTGTTTATTTAAGAACCTAGAAGCAATAACACCCTAGTAGGAAACAGTATACCCTACCTAGCATCTAAATCAAGCAAGAGCATGGATGAATTTCAGAAGCTTTACAAGTGAAAAGAGCCCAAGAGACAGAAGTAATACATTTACACAAATGCCCAGAACTGACAAAAGTAATCTATGATAACAAAATCAGAAAAGTGGTTGAAGAGGCTGTGTGGTACTGAATGGGAAGGGCCATGAAGGACATTTTTAGAGTAATGAAAGTATTCTATATCTTGTTCAGAGTAGGGCTTATATATTAATTTCCCAAACTCACACTGAATACCTAAGGTCTCTGTATTTTACAACATGTTATATATACCTGAATCTGAAAACAACAAAATCTCCTTAAAACTTTCCTATAGGCTTAAATTTTTCAAAATAAAGTTGTGGAAAAAGACTGCCAATTTGTGTTGGCTAAAACATGCACGCAAGACAAACTCTCAATAGCAGTAGTTTTAATTAGTTCAATACTTTAGAAAAATGTTTAGCAGTATCTATAAAAGCTAAGCACATATATATATCCTATTACCCATCAATTTCATAGGAAAATAAATGCTTATGTCCACCCTCAATAGCAGTAGTTTTAATTAGTTCAATACTTTAGAAAAATGTTTAGCAGTATCTATAAAATCTAAGCACATATATATATCCTATTACCCATCAATTTCATAGGAAAATAAATGCTTATGTCCACCTGAAATTACATGCAATAATGTTCACGGCAATATCACAGACCCAAACTGGAAAAAAAACAAATATGTTTATAACAGAAGAATGGAAAAATAAATTGTTATATTCATACATTGGAATACTACCCCAAAATGGAAAATGAACAACTGCCATACATCGACAACATGGATAAATCTTGTATAAACAGTAAGCAAAAGTCAGATATAAGACTATATAATGCATAACCCTAATTATGTAAGTTCAAAAACAAGTGAGACCTCTGAAAAGCAATTATCTTAGAGCAGAGCAGTGGTGTTGACTAGGAGAGTATAGAAGGGAGCTTGCTGGGGTGATGAAAATGTTCTGTATCTTAATGTGGGTGGCAGTTACATGGGTGTATAAGTAAGGAATCTTATAAAACACAATGTATAAATTATGCCTCAATTAAAAAAATTTTTTTAACTTGTGGGATGAAAAGCTCAAAAGTTCTTTATGTACAGCTATTAAAACATCTTCCAATGTATGCTTTAATAAAAAATAAAGAGGAAGTATATATGTATATTACATATATAACAGTGTATGTGGTGTAATATAGTATTTGCTTATATAAACACGAACTCTCTGAGAAAAAATATACAAGAAAAAAGTAACATTGATTGTCACCAAGGAAGGTAACTGATTCACTGTTGGTGAAAGATGGGAAGAAAATTTTTCACTATATCTCCTTTGCATTTTATGAAATTTATTCTCTATTTAGAAAAAGTAAATTTAAAAAGAAAACAGAAAATGAAGCATTCTTCTTTCAGCCTTAAAAGAATCTTATTTAAAAAACCAAACTGTGCACAAAATTAAGGTAAAGACCAGACAAAACAACTAGACATATTTTTATTACAACCAAACCATGGTAATCCAGAACTCCTAAACAATGAGTTGCTCTGTACAGTCAATATTTTGAGGTATCTGAGATTTTATCTGGCTAGTTATTAGCTTTGGTCCTCTTCTCAATGATATAGACCTATTATTATGAACAACCACCAGTGCTGAAATATATACATGTTGCATCTTTAGTCCTTTGTCATAAAAGAAAGACTTACATTTGCAAAGACCTGGATATAACAAGAGCAGAGCAAAAGCTCTGAGGAACCAGAAGTGCAGTTAATTCAGAAACCACAGTTTGAGGTTTAAATATAAAGCTGATATTATATTAATTATTCCTCTAAATCCTCATACTCTATTATAGCTTAAGTATTATTAGTTCTACTTTAACAACAAGAAAATAGAAGCATGAAGAGGTTAAGTAACTTATATAGAGTTATACAACAGGTAAGCTACAGAACCAAGATAAATGGATCTAACAAAAGACACAAATAGCTTTCACTTGTGGGGCAGGAATTAAGAATGCAGTAAGCTGAAAAATAAATGGGGAGGGGAGGAAACAGATTCAACAAGTTTGGTTTTGTAGACATACTCAACTAGGGCAGATACGGGTGTCAGCTGAAGTATTTTGCTTCTCTTGATAGTTTTTTCAAGAAAGGGAAGACCTGAGCATATTCAAATACATACGGAAGAAGCTGGTAGAAATAAAAGTGAATGTAGATGAAACGAGAGGTGAATAGAAAAACATCCTAGAGGGCTAACAATAATAGCAAACGCTTATTTAGTGCTTCCTATGTGTGTCAGGTACTGTCTTTAACACTGTTCATCCTCATGACAACCCTAGGAAGTATGTATTATTGCCTCAGGACACTGCCCAATGTCACAGAGATATAGGGATGTGTACACAGGTCAATGCTCTTGTTATGTTATGTACTGCAAAGCCTTATGAAGCCTTACCTTTTTAACAGATAGGTCACCTTTCCCACTATTACAAATGATAGGTAGATAATGAATATTAAGTGAATGCAGGCTTACACTGTTCTTAATTGCTATGCTTGTGTGTTTCTGCTTTTCATAGTGGCATTTCTTACTGTATCACCAGCTACTAAAATTCAATAATGCTAACTATAATAGTAACCCAAACTTCTTTTTAAATATTCCTTCCTTACTTGTGGAGGCAGACAATCAATGATCTAATGTGCCTGAGGACTTCGCAGGAATACGAACAGACCAAAAAAGCATACAATAACGAAATTACCACCATATTCCTACAGGAGTAGAGACTGGAGGAAACTGGTGACAAATTCATAGAAAATGACAGCCAATGTGGACCTTCGCTACAGCACAGACAATGGCAACAGTTAATAAACTTACTCTACTATGAATTGTAATCAAAGAATAATCTTTGCAGGAAAAAGTTTATTTTTTTCGAATTACAGTATACAGAAACTTTATCTAAATAGTTATCTATAAATAAACAAATGCAATAATATTGCTAAAAGTAATTAGTTTCATAAAACAAAAAATTATTAGTTACACATCAACAAATTACTATTTGATGTTGTTTTGAAAACCTGGACTATCCTACAGCCAATTTTTAAAGTAGGGAGCACCTGTGTGTCCAAAACTTTGCTATTCAAAGAAGCCTGTTAAGAAAATTTAAAAAAAACAAAAAACAAAAAACAAAGACTGGGAAAAAATATTTGTAAAATATACATAAAGGACTTAAATCCAGAATAAAGAATTCTTACATTTTTTAAAAAAAACACTTCAATAAAAATGGACAAAATATTCAAACAGACATTTCAACAAATAAGGTATATATTTGATAAATGCATGAAAAGATGCTCCACAACATTAATCATTAAGGAAATGCAAATTAAAACCACAGTGAGAAACCACTACATATCTATTATTCAAAAAACTGACAATATCAAGTGCTGACAAGGCTGTGGAGCAACAAGTCTCATACATAACAGTGGGAATGCAAAATGGTAAACCACTTCGGACAACAGGTTGGCATTGTCTTATAAAGATAAACATACACTTTCTATATGTTCCAGCAAACACAATCCTAGACATTTACCCAACATAAATAAAAACATATGTCCACACAAAGACCTTAATGCTTAATTCAATCTCCGAAAACTGAAAATAATTTTACTGTTCAACAAATGAATGGATAAACTGTGATACATTCATACTACAGAATACTAGTTAGCAATATGAAACAATAAACTACTGATACATGCAACATAGATGAATCTCAGAAGCACTGTACTAAATAAATCACAAAGAAAAGCTACAAACTCTATTTATATGGTATGATGAAAAAAGCAAAACTACAGGGACAAAAAGCAGATGAGTGGTTGCCAAAGGCTGTGTGTAAAAAAAGGGATTCACTACACAGGGTAAATTTAATTGTATGTAGGAAACAGAGAGAAAACTAAAAATGTTGAAAGCATTTCTAGAAACAGGACAGATGAGAGATTTAATAAAAGCAATAAGATGACAACTAGAAAGTGTTTTAAATTAGCCTTTCTATAACACATAAAAAGTCTCAGGCTGGTCGGTTAGCTCAGATGGTTAGAACATGGTGCTGATAACAGCAAGGTCCAGAGTTCAATTCCTGTACCAGCCAGCACCAAAATAAAATTTTTTTCAGTCTCAAAATTTTAATAAATAGGAATATGTTACATCAACCTGAAGAAGATTAAAGGACCAAAAAAGCTCAAGAGTTAAAATTTGAAGGATCAAGTTAAAATAGATAGCAACATTGTTAGCAATTCTTTGCGGGGGTTTTCAAGCTTAGATATTTATTTAGGTTTTACAAATTAGAGAAAAGCTATGAGATGCTCTCTATGCCATAGGCAACTACAGATTGTATGTTTTTGTAGTTTTTTAAAAATTCTTTAGAGCACTTTTAGGTTCACAGGAAAATAGAGTGGAAAGTGAAGATTGTTTTTCAAATGAATAATTACCTCTAAGATGAGATTAAGGTTTGTGGTGAGAGCCTGAACACGGTGAAAACCAGCAATCAGGGAAACAGGCAAGAAACCTTGTTCATCCATCTTTCTCCGAAGAAAGAAGTCCCGTTCCAAATTTTCTATACTGAAGTAATATTCACTGAAAAGAGAAATAAGAAAGTAAATATAAATTTTATCCATTGGGGCTGGCCAGTTGGTTAGAGCACATAATTTGGTTAATATTATATAGATGTAATAAAACAGAATAAAAAAGATAACAGGAAAAAAGCCCTACTGAATTAATAATTACTCTTATATATAAATAGAAAGAAATTTAAAATACTGGTAATTTTCCAAAGGACTAACATTAACTTCTATTTAAATCAGCTTCACATAAGTATAATTAAGCAACTCATTTTACTTTAAAATAGTTCAGATTAGTTTTTTGTTTTTTTGGTTGTTGTTGATGACTGGATGGTACAGGGATCAAACCCTGGACCTTAGTGTTATCAGCATCACGCTCTAACCAACTAAGCTAACCAGCCAGCCCTCACTAATAGATTTTTTTTTTTAAATGAGTAAATTAAGTGAAAATTTTCACTACAAAGCCACTTCTACTTCTACCTGCTTCATTTATTTTTTCCTTTTTTTTGCAACTGGCCAGTACAGGGATTTGAACCCTTGACCTTGGTGTTCTACTTGCTTCATTTAAATACTAAATAACAAAGCTAAACACATGACAACATACTTGCCTTCCAAATTTTCCCAGTCACTGAGAAGAATGGTATACTGGAAGTATCCTTTGTCAAAATCACATACAATAAAGTAGTTTGCTTTGTTTTCTAAATTGACCAAGTACTGACATTGTTTAATACTGCTGAACCCTAGTAACCAGCACAATGCTTAGCAAAACTTAGGAAACACATGAGTACATGTGCACACAATTATATATTTGAATGATTCAAGTTGTCTCCTTTCTTGGATAGACAGAACTATAAAATGTTACAAGTAAACAGAAAATAGCTAAACAAGGAATATCAATGACACCATGAGGTACATGGGGGAAAAATACAGAAAATCCTTAAACACCTTATCTTAATGTACAAACCCATTTAATGTTTCCCAAGAGACAAATGAAAATGGACAAACTGTCAATAGATCAATAACTACAAGTCTCAAGACACAAGGGTAATATTCAGAATACATTTAATAATAGGCTTTGAGAAATACTTGTTTAAATTACAGACTCCATAACGAAAAATGAGAACAGAATTCAAAAAAGACAGAGTAAGACAATAGAGGGAAATGTAGAAAATAATACAAAACAAATACACGACATCAATGATGATGTGGCCTACAGTTTAATCCTACACTCTTCCCAAATCACGAGTTTTCAAAGATGGGTGGCAAGTTAAGAGAAAGCACACTAGCTCATATTTTGGTGTGTATTTCTAACTATGAACAAATAAGCACCTATAACTGACAACTAGTTTCGAGCTACCTTTCACTAAAGGGGAAGAAAAATCACCTTACTTTAAAAATGTAAATATCCAAATTTTTCTTTATAGTTTGATATTTATCCAACTATCAAAGTATGCAAAGCTCCCTTATAGATCGGTGAAATATTACTGACATCTCAGTAACACTAATAAATCATTTACTTTTCTTGAACACTGAAGAAAAAAATGTAAGTCTTAAAAAAATGAACATCCTGATTTTTGTTATACTTCAAAAGCCATATTCATTGTGCCTGGCATGTGGTAGGTACATAATACATGTGTTGAAATTCTAAAATTTCAGACATTAAGACATTTGATTTAGTCACAAGTTACCCCTGTTCTTAGATGCAAACCTCCCTGAATCAATAATAAGCTGTCCTTTTAATGTTGCATTTTGTGAAAAACAGGATGTCTAAAATTCATAAATCACCCTATTACCTACAGTATATATTTTTTGAAACTTCTAACAGGCTACAAACATACTCATTTCTAAATATGAAAGCCAAGAGAGATTGTCCCAACTAGAAATAATCAAGACCTTAATATTCTGACATCAAAAACAATAAATTAATAATTAAATTATAAACAATTAAAATAATAATAATAAAGAAATTCAACTGTTCTGAATACAATTAAGCCTCTTACTTTAAAAATACACTTAGCAGGGCTGGCCTGTTAGCTCACTTGGTTAGAGCACAGTGCTGATTACACCAACGTCAAGGGTTTGGGTCCCCGTACTGGCCAGCCACCAAAACAGAAATAAAGTACATTTAGCATCATTTTCCCACAAGTGTAAGGAAAACTTTTAAAACTGACTCCTCAAAAAAAAAAAAAATAACATTTAAGGGCTGATCAGTTAGCTTAGTTGGTCAGAGTGCAGTGTTACAAACACCAAGGGCAAAGGTTTGGTTTCCCATACCTACACACACACAGACACACACACACACACACACACACAAACTAAACCCTAATCAATCAGTCTCTCTGTGTACTAGAAACCTCAATGACACAAAGTCAAAAACATGACTCCTCGAAACCAGATCTCCACTAATCAATCAATGATAATAACAAGCCACCCTAAGCCTGATGTTCTAAAAACATCTGCCAAAAACCCTACTGCTAGAACACCACCACCACGAGAAAAAAGGAGGCACCACCAATGCCGCGTCTAACATGTTGCTCGGTGTCCTAGGTGACATTATCATATCCTACCTTAGAAGCTCTGGATTCTACACTGCATGATCAGAAATTTATCAACACTGAAGTAGCTCTGCTCCTCCCCCACTTGTATGAGCACATCAGAGGCTGATTATCCTGACATGGAGTTGTAGCAAGGGTTACCAAAAAAAGACAGGAATAGTGGAATGAAGTTGATAGCCACATGCCAGGCACTTTCTACCCATAAAAGTGTAGAAAGAAAAGTGTAGGCCCTTTTCTTCAGTGTTTGCACCAACTTAAAAGATACAAGAACAAAATAAACAAGCTGTTCCACATTGTAAGCCAATCAAATCCACCAGGAAGGCATCCCAGGAAGGTGCCCAGCTGATGCTGAGGAAGAAATTATCTTCTAGTAAGCGTAGTGTCCATTTTCTTTCTTAAATACAGACAGATATTTTTAAAACACCCATGTCCTTTCAAAAACAGCCCTTTTCCTTTACCTTTAAAGACAGAAAAAAAATTCAAATTTTAGCAAACTGGTTATGCAAATCACTTGGGAACATTTTTCTTGCCACTACATACAGACATACTAATAAATTTGTAAAATAACCCTATACAATACTAACATGCACAGAGTTGGGGTTATTTTCCACCTTAAAGACAATAAAACAATCTAATTTTTCTCCTGAGTTCAAATTCAGCACACAGAAAGCAATACTATGAGACCCAGAGTAAGAAATCTGAACTAAAAGATCAGGTAACAAGGGCTGGTCAGTTAGCTCAGTTGGTTAGAGGTCGGTGTTATAACACCAAGGTCAAGGGTTCAACACCAAGGTCAAGTGTTCAGATCCCCATACTGGCCAGCCACCAAAACTAAGTAAGTAAATAAATAAATGATTAGGTAGACTTTTAATATGTGTCACAAAGAAAGAACTTAAGATAAAAAACAAACTTAGAATTCAGAAGTCAATTGCTAAGAAGATGATCAAAAATATCTACCACAATTTCTGTCATTTATATTCATTTGCAAACTTTAATATAAACACCTATGTGCAAATACAGGTTGAGTATTCCTTATCTGAAATGCTAGGGACCAGAAGTGTTTCAGGTTCCCGAGTCTTTTCTTTTTTAAGATTTTGGGATATTTGCGTTATACCAGTTGAGCACCCCAAATATGAAAATCCAAAATGCTCCAATAAGCATTTCCTTTGAGTATCATGTTGGCACTCAAGTTTCAGATTTTGGGCTGGCTGGTTAGCTCACTTGGTTAGAGCTTGGTGTTCAGGAAAAAAAAGAAAAAGAAAAAAAAATTTTAGATTTTGAAGCATTTTGGATTTCAGATTTTTCAGATTTGGGATGCTTAACCTATAATAAGCCAAATTTCACTTTTTCGATGTCAAATATATATAAATATATAGAGAGAAGTTTTATATTCTTGTATTTGCTCATATAATGACAGTTTAACCAATATCCTTTAAGTCGAAAAGTATCTAAGCAGTAGAGAAAGCAGGAGACTTATATGAACAAAATGAAACAAATATAATTTTTAAAAAATACTTTACCTGTTTTATTCATATTTTCTAGAAAAATATAATCAACATAATATTAACATTTCTCCAACTTTTACTAATAAATAGCTTAGAAAAATGTGTTATAAAGTATTCACTATCAGTGACATTAAAAGTACTGCAACAGATTTTACTATCCCATCTGCTTACATCTGACATCAACTTACATTTGACGTTTAATATACTCTTTAAGCAATGCTTCTTCCACAGGATACACCTGTACACCTGTACCATCATCATAGTAATACATCATACTGGTATTAAGTTCTGTCTGAAATGGCTGATCAGTCCTCTCACCATGTTCTTGATAATCATATGAATAATCAAAGTTCACTTGATATGAATAAAGAGAAAGAAAGGTGATCACAGATTAAACAACAAAAAAGAAAGTTACTACAGACAAAAATCCAAAGCAAAGCACTTCCAGGTGTAACAAATGCAAAACCATCTTTATTATCAGACAAAAAAATTAGTTAAAACATAATAAAGAATAGTGTGAAAAACTAATGTTTTCAAAGTTCATCTAATTTAATAAAACAAAAAAAGCAAGCCATACATCGAGGATTTCCTCTGCCTCGTCCTCTTCCCCGTCCTCGGCCTCTTCCTCGGCCTCTAAAGGAACCTCGAATGTTACCACCCTCACTTCTCACACTGGAAATTTCATCCTGATCATCTCTCTTTTCTCTATCTCGCCTCCAACCTTTTAAAAGTAAAAATATTATTATACATTCCAATCTGCAAGTAAAATAACATAATTATCTTTATGAAAACATAGTAACCACCCTCTCCCACTTTGTAACTGATCAATAGTAGACAGGCATTCTTCAGATAAATACAAATTTAAGAGATCCAATAGGAATTTGTCAAAAATGTCTCTGGCATAAAAGAGGGTGCATAAAAGAGGGCCCATAAAAATATTGGCATATAAAGAAGATATTCTAAAAGTAAAATAACATACTACAAAGACAAAGAGGTCCTTTGCTAAGACTGCACTGTTAAAGATTCAAGAAGTTCCAAGGCTACTGAGTTTGCACTATATAAAACTCCTAAAAAACACTTTTCACAAAAAGTTTAAGGGGGCCGGCCCGGTGGCGCCAGTGCGCCGCTTGGGAGCGCGGCGGCGCTCCCGCCGAGGGTTCGGATCCCACATACAGACTGGTTCCCGCTCACTGGCTGAGCGAGGGGCGGGCGCGGCACTGAGGGTTGTGATCCCGTTGCCGGTCCCGGTCCGGTACAGGTGCGACACTGAGGGTTGCGGTCCGTTGCCGGACACGAAAAAAGACAAAAAAAAAAAAAAGTTTAAGGACAGGCTGCTTCTATTGAAGCAAAAGACATTTCTTTTAAGTTAAAAACAAAAGCAAAAAAAAGCCCCACAAAAACTGAGTGAAGATATCTGAAGCATAATATAGAAATTCTATGTAGAGTTCATATAAGAACTCATACCACTCTGTCTCTCATGCATACACATGTGCACACACACAAAATCACTAAATAGGAAAAATGTCTAAAAGACAAGTAGGGCAAACAAAAAAAATGCAAATGGCCAATAAATATAGAAAATGGTGCTCAGCCTCACTGGCCATCAGAAATGCAAATTAAGACAATGAAAGAATCTTTTATCTACCCCATCTGACAAACATTTTAAGGTTCTGTAATATTAAATGTTGACAAAAATATAAAAGTTAGAACATCTGTATACTGCTAGAGAGAGTGAAAACAGATATATCCATTTTGAAAATATAGGAATAATCTAATAAATGTGAAGACATGCAAATCCTAGAGACAAGGGTTTCTCAACTTCAGCACTTTAAACTCTATGGTGTAGGCGGCTGTCCTATGGACTGTAGGATGTTTAGCATCATCCATGACTTCTACCCACTAGATGCCAGAAGCGGCCACTAACCCCCTCTACTCGTTACAACCAGTAACATCTCCAGAAAATGCCAAATGTCCTCTTGAGGGGAAAGAAATCACCCCCACTGAGAACCACTGCCCCAGACCCTGCCAATTCCATCTTCAATGCTTATCTTAAAAGTCTTTTTAAATATTTCAGCTGCAATCTACAGTAAGCCTTACTTTATATCATACCCCAGTACACTTATAAAAATTTTCTAGGGCCGGCCCGGTGGCGCACTGTGCTAGTGCACCGCTTGGGAAGCGCGGAGGCGCTCCCACCGAGGGTTCAGATCCCACATACAGACCGGTTCCCGCTCACTGGCTGAGCGAGGCGCGGGGGCAACACCGAGGGTTGCGATCCCGTTGCCGGTCCCGGTCCAGTGCGGGGGCGACACTGAGGATTGCGATCCGTTGCCGGACACGGAAAAAGACAAAAAAAAAAAAAATTTTTTCATAATTTAAACATGTGTCATAAAAGAGATACCATGTGAAGCACTCTAGTCTATCAATTTTTTTAAAAAACCTGATCATGATTCAATATTCTGATTTCATATCCTACTCACAGGTACTAGTCTGTAGTCTGAAAAAACTACTCCAGAGAGCCTCTTCTTTTTTTCGTCCTTTTTGAGACCGG